CAGGCGGGTCTCAAACCTGCAGGCTCAGGCAATCCACTCACCTCAGCCTCCCAAAGGCGCGGGATTACAGGCTGAGCCACCGAGCCCGGCTGACTAATATTCTTATACAAGATTTTTTCTGTACTAGTCTGAGTATTTCCTTAGGATAAATTTCTAGAAGTGAAGTTTGGAAAAATGAGTGTGAATGTTAAGTTATTGTTGAACTGTCCTGCAAAAATATACCAAATGAACAAAAGAACCATCATTTAACCACTGTGTATGTGTATGATGGAATGAATCTAAACTTTTAGGTAATTTGAAGCAATTTTTCCTTTGCAATTTCTTTGTTTTTAAGCTTAGAAAGTCATTCCCGGTGGCTCACGCCTATAATTCCAGTACTTTGGGAGGCCGAGGTGAGAGGATTGCCTGAGCCCACGGGTTTGAGATCAGCTTGGGCAACTTGGCGAAACTTCATCTCTACAATAAATCAAAAAATTAGCTAGGCGTGGTGGCACACACCTGTGATTCCAGTTACTTGGAAAGCTGAGGTGGAAGGATCGCCTGAGCCCAGCAGGTCGAGGCTGTAGTGGCCGTGAGCATGCCACTGCCCTCCAGCCTGGGCAACAGAGTGAGCGACTTTAAAAAAAAAAAAAGAAAGTCATTCTCATCTAGTGATCAGCTATATGTTTATCTATGTTTTCTTCTAATACTTTATAGTTTTAAGGATCTTTGATTCACCTAGAATTTAATAGTAAACAGTGAGGTAAAGTGTCATTTAAATCTCCCCACTCCAATTACTTAGCCGATTACCGAAGCTTTACTTGTTGAAGAAATTAAAACTGATTTGTGACGATTCCTTGATCATGTATTAGTTTTTCATTTATAGTAAAGAGTTATCAATTCTATTCCATCTATCGGGACTCCGTTCTGGGACAGAATGACTGGGTTTTAACTACTGGTGTTTTACAATAGATTTTAATATCTAGAGGAACAAGACTTCCAATGTTGCTCCTTTTTCAAAAGTGCTTAGATAGCTTTTCTTTCTTTCTTTCTTTCTTTCTTTTTTTGAGGTGTCCTCTGGCATAAAAGTCCAATTGAAGTTTGTATTAAAATTGAATTAAATCTATGCATTAATTTGAGGTAGACTGGCAATTTTATACTTTTTGGCCTCTTCACGGAGGAGCTTGGTATAAGTCTCTCAAGTTTTTAATTAGTTTCTATACTCTTCTTGGTGAAAGTATTAGGTGCTTTATACTTGTATTTCTTGTTGTTGTGAAATTGATCTTTCCCCTATTACATTTACTAATTAGTTATGGCTAGTACATAAGAAAAGCAATTTATTTTAGAATATTTACTTGGAATCCAGGTACCCTACTAAACTCTTATGCATTCTAACAGTTTTCAAATTGTCTTTTGGTTTATTAAAAATAGTATCAGCTCTGGTTTTTCACCAGGGATTATACTTTTAATTCTACTGGCTGGCTTCTTGCATCATTTGGAATGCAAAAATCAAACCCACATGAATTAAAAATTCATCTCTAAAATTTTCAAAAAAAAAAAATAACAGGAAAAAAATCTTCATGACCTAAGGTAAGGAAAGACTTCTTTCCCCCCACCTTTTTTTTTTTGAGTTGGAATCTCAATCTGTCACCCAGGCTGGAGACCAGTGGCATGCTCATGGCCATCGCAGCCTCAACCTGTGGGCTTAGGCGATCCTTCTGCCTCAGCCTTCCAAGTAGCTGGAACTACAGGCATGTGCCACCATGCCCAGCTAATTTTTTTAAATTTATCATAGAGATGAGGTTGGTCTCAAACCTATGGACTGGTCTCAAACCTATGGACTCAGGCAATCCTCTCATCTCGACCTCCCAAAGTGCTGGGATTATAAGCGTGAGCCACCACACCTGGTCCCTTTTTTTTTCTGAGACATTGTCTTGCTCTGTTGCCCAAGATGGAGTGTGATGGTGTGATCACAGCTCATTGCAACCTCGAACTCCTAGGATCAAGCAATCCTCCTACCTCGGCCTCCTGAGTAGCTCACACTACAGGCACATGCCATCATGCTAGACTAATTTTTATATTTTTTTACCTTTGTAGGGATGAGGTTTTGCTATCTTAACAAGGCTGGTCTTGAACTCCTGGCATCAAGTGATCCTCCTACCTCTGACTCCCAAAGTGTTGGGATCACAGGCATGCTGGGATTACTTAGCTGCCTGGCTGAAGAGTTCTTAATCAGTCACAAAAAGCACAAACCATATAGGAAAACACTGATAAACGTGAAATATAATTAAAAATTATACGTTTAGGCCGGATGCGGTGGATCAAGCCTGTAATCCCAGCACTTTGGGAGGCTGAGGCGAGAGGATTGCCTGAACCTAGAGGTTCGAGACCAGCCTGAGCAACATGGTAAGACCTCATCTCTATAAAAACGTAAATTAAAAAAAAAAAAAAACCAAACCTCTTTTCCATTGAAACTTAGACAAGGTGAATGATAAAAACATAACTGATAAAAGATTAATATCCAGGATTTATAAAGTTTTTCTAAATCAATAAGAAAAAGACAATCCAAAAGAAAAGCAGGCAAAGGACACAAAGACAATTTCCACAGAAAAGAGTTAAGATGGCCAGTGAACACATGAAAGTGCACACATTTTACTGGTAGTCAGGGAAATGCAAAGTAGAGAAGGCGTGAGATACGATTTCATTTCTCTGCATTGGAAAAGTAAAAAATCTGATAATACCACGTGCTGATGAGCACGCAGAACAGCAGACATTCTTACATGCTGCTGGTGGGGTTAGAAAGGTGAATATGCACCTTGGAGAGCAACTCGACAATACCTACTGAAGCTGAAGATAAGCCTATTCAATAACCATGCAAAAGCATGCCTGGGCAAACCCACCCCCAAAAATACACGATTCATACACAGCATGCAGAAGGACGTACATACAACATACATACATAAATAAATTCACATAATAGCAAAATCTGTAAATAAAATCTAATGTTCATCAGCAGGGTAGCGGATAAACTGTGGTTTGGTTATCCAGTGAGATACTATTCAGCAGTTAGAGTGAACTCTGTATGGAGACATCTCAAAAATAGTTGGGCATGGTGGTTCACGCCTATAATCCTATAATCCCAGCTCCTTGGGAAGCTGAGGTGGGAGGATTGCTTAAGTCTAAGAGTTTGAGACCAGCCTGGGCAAAAAAGCAAGACCTTGTCTCTACAAAAAAATTAAACAACTAGCAGAGCGTGGTGGAGCATACCTGTAGTTCCACCTGCTTGGGAGGCTGAGGCAAGAGGCTCGCCTGAGCCCAGGAGGCTGAGGTTGCAGTGAGATGTCATCGTGCCACTGCACTCTACCCTGGGTAACAGTGTAAGACTCAGACTCAAAAATAAATAAATGAGATAATGCTGAGCAAAAAAGTAAGATGCAGGCTAGTTACACTATGCCAATATTTATTTAAATTTTTAAAAATATACCAAAAAGTCAGATGAGGTGGCTCATACCTGTAATATCAGCACTTTGGGAGGTAGAGGCGAGAGGACCGCCTGAGCTCACAGGTTCAAGACCAGCCTGGACAACATGGAGAGACCTCATCTCTATAATACATCAGAAAAAAGAAAAAGGCCAGGCTTGGTGGCTCAGCCTGTAATCCCAGCACTTTGGGAGGCCGAGGTGAATGGATTGCCTAAGCCCGCGGGTTCAAGACCAGCCTGAGTAAATTGGCGAGACCTCGTCTCTACAATAAATAAAAAATGAGCTGGGCATAGCAGTGCTCGCCTGTAGTTATGGCTACTTGGAAGACTAAGGTGGAAGGATTTCCGGAGCCCAGCAAGTTGACACTGGGGTGACCATGGGTGTGCCACTACACTCCAGCCTGGGTGGATAGAGTGAGACTCCAACTCGAAAGGAAAAAATAATTAGCTGTGCATGTTGGCACACGCCTGTGGTTCCAGTTACTTGGAAGGCTGAGGTGGAAGGGTTACCTGAGCCCAGCAGTTTGAGGCTGCGGTGGCTGTGATCATGCCATAGCACTCCAGCCTGGGTGACAGAATGAGACTCTGACTCAAAAAAAAAATTATCAAAAAGAGACTATATATTGTCAAAAAATAGGCACATTTAACGCAAAGTATGACAATATGGAGGGGAAGGTATATACACTAACTTCAGGATAGTGATGTTACTTCTGGGGAGGACAGAAGGGGAATGGAATTAGAATACTGAGGGAGCCTAAGAATTTTACTACTTAAGAAATAAACCTTGAAGTAAATAGAGTGAAGCTTTTTATTTATTCATTCTGGGTGAGGGGTGCATAGATGTTAGCTGCATATTTCTCTGCATTCTTTTTTTTTTTTTTTTTTGACTTGGGGTCTCAGTCTTACCCAGGCTGGAGTGCATTGGCACAATCATGGCTCATCGCAGCTTCAAACTCCTGGGCTCAGGTGATCCTTCTGCCTCAGTGTCCCAAGAAGCTGGGCCTACAGGCATGTGCCACCACGCCTGGCTAATTTGTTTTTTTTTTTTTTTGGAGAGACGAGGTCTTGCTATGTTGCCCAGGCTGGTCCTTCTTGGAAGTCCTTCTAGGACTCACTTTCAGGAGAGCCATAAAAGGCTGTCCTGAAGTTTGCACATTGCCACATAATAAAGGCATTCTGACAGTGATGAGAAGGAACAAAAGGAAGCAAAAGAGGATATTCGTACAGATGCTTGTCTCCACACAAGAGAACAATTTTGCTCCCTCCTCTCTTGCCAACTATATAATTATTTATGCGAAATAATGGAAGAGCCACTGGGAGATATTCCTAAAGCAAGAGTCTCAGGATATCTATTTCAAGCATGGAGGAAGTTAAAATGACACAGCAGGGGAAAGATTCTGACCCCACTGTGGTTCTACAAGCGAGGAGAACTCTCCTTCCAAAAGTCTTCAGCAGTGATTCTGGAAGCCATCACCTTACGTTGTTTAGATCTCACCTACGCCTTCTCAGAAGAGCTTGGTACATACCAATAAAAGCACTCCGTTGTTGAACTTCTGAGGGAGCTCACCTTTCTCTCCAGCTCTTTGGTAATTGCATCCAGAACCACCTTATGGTGTGCAAACACTAGAAACTTCTCTTTTCCACTCTCCAGTAGATCTAAGATGTATTCACTGTATTTGACAATGATAACAAAGTAGATTAAACATAAACTCATCCAGTTGAGGTTCCTTATTGAAAAGGGGCCACATCTATAGCAGATACCTTCTGGGCACCTGTCCCCTTACCCCCCAGTCCACTCATTCCCTTCTCTGAGAGCTCACCTCTTCCCCCTCTCCTTATATCAGCTCATGTGAACAGAAGATGCAAAATCTATGGGTGCTGGGGGAGGTTGCCTTCTGCTATGGGCAGAAAAAGTTCTATACTTTTTAGTCGTGGCACATACAGAAATAAATAAAAATATCCTTAGGTTTCGTGTGTCTCTGGTATGTTATTGAAACATTATTATTATCGGGGACTATAAAAGATAATTAAGAGTTTTCACTTTAGCTACTGCTATCATTATAATGTGTTTTCAATACAAATTGAAGTATTGTCTGTAGAGTATGCAATAAGTAAGGGGGTTAAGGGATTCTCAACCGTACATAAGTTTCTAGAAGCTTAGTATTGAGACATAAGTAGTGATACTGAAGAGACCTTCAGGGAAGGCTCTCTAGTTCCCGTCCACTCTGACCTCAAATGGCAGGGCCAACAGTTAAGTCAGTGGTAAGTTCTTTTCCAAGACAGAGGGACATAGAAGGAAGGATCTCAAGTGTTTGATCTCCCTTGAATTGACTTCTCTTCTCCATTCACTGTTTTTTAACAACCCCCTTACCTTTAGCCCCAGCCTTACAGCAAGACAGTCACTCCCAGAAAGCTGTGGAGAGGGAGCCACCCAGTCAGCAGACCCTCCCTGGGCCCCCTCGCCCTATTAGCTCCCTACAGAGGGTTCACAGTCCCAAAGAAGAGGTAAGCCAAGTCCAGGCAAGTACTGTCCACGGGCAAGGGGAAGGTGAGCTCCCTCGCCCTGCCTGAGACCATTCCCACACATGGGTGTGTCTGGGCAGGGAACAGACATTGCCTTCCTTAAAGTCTCAGGTGGTGAAAAGGTAAATGTCCTCTAAATACCTAAGAATTATTTTTGAACAACACTATGGCCAACCAGGGTACCAGATTTGAGTTTAGTCTGTGAACTGTTGGCGCTAATAGCATCTACTTTAATTATTTTGAGAGACATAAAATGGCCATGATATAAGCAAAAAAGTTTACTGCTATAGCATCAAAAAGTCACAAGGCCACAAAATAAACTTGGTGAGCTCATCAAAACTACAGGCCCCAATTTTCCTAATGTCTCTTTCCCTGCTACATCTCAGACACAGCTCTGCTCTTCTATACCCTTCTGCAAGTCCCCACGTTACTGAGAATAGCTGCCTACCAAAATAACCTTGGCTTTAATATTAAAAGATGCCCATTAGAATAAAAAAAACCAAACAAACAATAGCAAAAAGGGAAGAAAAGCAACTAGCAGAGGAAATTGGGGTTTTTAAGATGTACAATCTAATTTCCACTTACTAGCTATGTGACTCTGAGGTCCAGAGATTTATAGAAGATTTACTCAGAGTATGCAATTTTAAAATGGAGCTAATATGGCTTTTATGATCTCACAAAGATGCTGTAAATGTGAAAATGAGTTAAGAGATGTAAAAACTGTTTGGAAACTACAGAGCACTGTATCATTTATTTAGAATTTTAAAAGAACATGTGTAAGGTATGAGCAAAGCTGGTGATGAGGTGGTGGAATGATAAAACCTTGACTTTAAATTTCTAAGAGAAAACAGGTAACACTGTACTAAACTTCGAAGAGAGAGGCACCCGACGGACCTCAGGTTTTACAGGTCACAAACTGGAGACAGGGGACAGTATGCAAACCCCTTGCCATCTGTGACTCAGCCTCCCATGAGAAACAGGTCTGTGAGGGCAATTTGAATTTGTTTCTGAAAAAGGAGTCTCAGTCATAAAAAACACACCTGGAGTCATTAATTCCATAACAGGCTCATAAAGGAGGTGAAGGAGAGCGGCCAGCGGCCAGCAATGGGCAGCCTTTGTATGCAGCACTGTAGTCTCCCTGAGGCAGGGAGCTCTCTTTCCTCCCAGGGAGGCTGTGGTGAGAGGTCGGTGGGCCAAGTGGGGGGCAGAAGGCAGGGGGTGTTTCTTAATTTATCCCCAGATCTCAGGCCCCACAGCCAGTCTGTCACCACCCAGCCCACACAGAATTCATTCTCATTGTAATTTCATCACTTGGACCGTTACCCTGACAGTCTAACATGAATGTCAAGCAATACAAATTAGGCAAGCTGCAAGTCATTAGAATCACCTCAAGTTTCTACCAGTGATATTTGAATAGGAGTGAATTTCCTTTCTTTAAGAAAGGCAGACAGTTAAGATTTTTTAAAAGTTAGTGAATTACTCTAAGAATAGACATTATTATTTTAGCTTAGTTTGTAAGATGGAAAGAAAACTAAGTGTGACAATGGTCATTTGGTAACACCTTTTGAACAAGCTTTGATATTCATCTTTTCCTTTAGGTAAATAACGGATGAAATTTCATGTCTTTGGGAAAGACCAGAGCATCCCCATAAGGCAGCTTCTCCCTCTAATTTTTTTTTCCTAAAGGCTCAAATGACCACAGTCCTAGCAAGAGGACGACTCTTCCTTTTAGCATTGGGGACAACCCTACACAGCTTTTTTTTTTTTTTTTTAGAGTTGGAGTCTCACTCTGTCGCCCAGACTGGAGTACAGTGGCCGCTCCCGGCCACCGCAGCCTCGACCCGCTGGGCTCTGGCGATCCTTCCGCCTCAGCCTTCCAAGTAGCCGGAATTACAGGCATGCGCTACCATGCCCGGCTGATTTTTTGATTTATTGTAGAGATGAGGTCTCGCTGCCCAGGCGGGTCTCGAACCCGCGGGCTCAGGCAATCCACTCACCTCAGCCTCCCAAAGGCGCGGGATTACAGGCTGAGCCACCGAGCCCGGCTCCTACACAGCTTTTAAGGAGCAGCAGCTCCGGCCCACTTGGGTTCAATTAGGATCTCTGGGGCATCCCAGGCACATCCTGGTAGTGACTCCAGCTACAGGCCGACTTATGCCTTGTGAGTCATAGGCCATGGAGCTATAAACTTAATTTCAAAGCAGCTAGAATTCTAATCTCCATCATTTCCTAGAGAGCAGTAAAACCATTCTGGAATATAAGATAATACATATAATTTTTTTTAAGATGTGGGGAGAGAGAGAGAGAACAAGGTCGATGGTTGGTGACCACTCACATAACAGACGGGATTTTGGCTTCGGCCGTTCTGTTGAAGAAGAGAATGAGGGCTTCTTTCTGCTGTTGTTTCTGTTGAAAGAGAAGTTGAAGATTTAAGGTCCCTCACCCTGAGAACTCTGGGATAAGCTGAGCTAATTATTGCTACTATGAACTTTACGAATCTTAACCATCAATCAACAGGGTCAGGAGACCCCCGCACTGACAGAGACAGACTTTCGCTCTGGCCAAGTCATAGGAATTGCAAGGGCTCTGATTTTGTCCTCAGAGACAGTATTATAGCTACTCTGACCTCCCAGAGTTATTGTAAGAATTTAATAAGGCAGGGAAATAAAGCTCTTTAGAAAAAGATTTCAGGTAAGGTTTCACCATACACACCAAACTCATGTGACCCACTGAAATGCGACCCTATTTACTATAAGCCTGGTGACAACGTACACATGACAATTCCCTAACTTGCTTTCTGCCTCCCTTTTTCTTCTGCCAAGTTGTAAGTATACCTGACCGACCAAGCTCACCTCTGTCTAAGACATACTGAAACAACTCCAAACAACCCTGACTAGCTTATTCTAATATCATTTCAAAAGTATTATTCATGTTTTTGGTCTGTCTCCCACATAAGATAATACACTTCCCAGAAGAAATCATATACTCTTCATGGTTTGCATCTAAATTACTCCTAATAAAGAAATCTGGCCAGGCACAGTGGCTCACACCTATAATCCCAGCACTTTGGGAGGTGGAGGCAAGAGGATTGCCTGAGCTCAGGGGTTTGAGACCACTGTGGGCAACTTAGCAAAATCTCATCTCTAAAAATAAAATAGAATAAAAATAAAAATAATAAAATAAAATAAAACAGTAGCCAAGCATGGTGGTACATGCTCGTGGTTCCAGCTACTTGGAAGGGGAGGCAAAAGGATCACCTGAGCCCAGCAGGTTAAGGTTGTAGTAGTCGTGAGTGTGCCACTGCGCTCCAGCCTGGGTGATAGAGTGAGACTCCAACTCAAAAAAAAAAAAAAGTGCTAACACAGAAGATGCTCCGAAAGTTTCATAATAATTAACACTGACTGGTGCTCTGACCCCGGAGATGAAATTCCTACCATCGTTGGCTGAACATACTATGGACTGAACGTTTGTGTCCCCCAAATTCATATGTTAAAACATAACCTCCAGTGCAGCAGTGTTGGGAAGTGGGGGACCTGGGAGATGCTCAGGCCACGAGGACACAGCCCTTATGAGTAGGTTACTGACCTTATAAATGAGGCCTGAGAGAGCGTGTCTGTTCCTTCTGCCATGTGAGGCCGCAGCAAGAAGACGCCACCTTTGAAGCAGAGATCGGGCCCTCACTAGGCACTGAATGTGCTACTGCCTTCATCTTGTCCTTCCCAGCCTCCAGAACTGTGAGCAATAACTTTCTGCTATTCATAAATTACCCATTTCACAAGGTAGTGTGTTACGGCAGCACAAGTGGACTATGATAGTCGGCCATCTCCTTCTGTTAGTCAGCATGCATTTACAGTTGCATCTACCTTCTTGTGCCTGGACTCTGTGAGAAAAGTGACTGGCAGGGCAGCTTCCTCACAGAGCAAATACATGATGAAATGGCAGTAACATCTGTGGTCCCCAAACCATCATTCCTGGGCTCTCAATAACTCAGGAAAGCAGCGATAGCTAGACTGTACCTAAAATAACTGACACAGTGGACGGTGGAAAAAGCTGCCTGGTCAAACAGCTCCTGGCTTTGAACATGTCTTTCCTTTAAGACTTTACTGGAAAGAGGAAAGATAGCCAGGAACCACAGGAACCTGTGAGGGCACTGACCAGACAACAGATCCTTTTTCGTATCCTAGACATGTTATGGTAGTGACAGCCACCGACCCTACTGTTTTGTGGCAGATTCTGGACACACACAATTTTTGGTTCACAGCCAATAAGCTCAGACTTGATGAAGTCCATTCACGGACCTGTAAGCGTCCCTAGCAGCAGGTTAGGCCCTCTCACCAAAGGTGGTCCCTAGTTGCCAAAGGGTCAGAGCTTACACACGGCGACCTCATCCACAGTATGTACACCTTAGTCAGTCTGCACCTGAGTCATCCTCTCTACCATTTTACTCCTGAGTCCTTGAGAGACTGTCCACCCCTCCCACACACACTCATTCACACCCCAAGAAAGGACAGGGCAAAACAAATGGATGGAGAAATGGTGAGATACATTTGCAGAAAACCTGCCCTGACATTGAGCACCTAGAGTCAATGAGAGTATGAATGAAGAAACAAACAAGCACTTTTTTTTTTTTGAACAGGAGTCTCACTCTGGGCTCAGGCGATCCTTCTACCTCAGCTTTCCAAGTAGCTGGAACTACAGGTGTGTGCCACCATGCCCAGCTAATTTTATTTATTATAGAGATGAGGTCTTGCCAAGTTGCCCAGGCTGGTCTCGAACCTGTGGGTTCTCACCTCGGCCTCCCAAAGTGCTGGGACTACAGGCATGAGCCACCATGCCCGGCCTAACAAGCACCTTTATTCTATGTGGTTGGTGGGAAGGTACAAGGGCTAACCCTGCTGAGGTCATGTGGCAAAATGTACCAAACGTCTCTAAAACACACCCAAACCCTATGATCCAGCAACTTAATCCTAAAATTTATTCTCATAATAAATCAGATGTGCCCAAATTCATATGAAAGCTATTTTTTCAGTGCAACATTACTCAGAATAGAGATCAATGAAAAATAACTTAAAAAGGTCCAACTAAAAATGATTGGCAAAATTATAGCCATGTGAGAAAATGCTATGCAGTCTTTAAATACTAAGAAAACATTTAACAACATGGACAAGTTTTAGGCCAGGTGCAGTCGCTTACACCTGCAACTCCAGTACGAGGCAGGAGGATCACTTGAGCCCAAGAGTCTGAGGCTGCAGTAAGCTATGACCATGCCACTGCAGCTCTCTGGCCTGAGTGACAAAATGAGACCTTGTCTCTAAAAAATAAAAGTCTTCATGAGACATGAGTTCTGTAACCTGTTTTTCTCTCCACTTGATGAATGCCGTATGATCCCAATTCTGGTTTTAAAATATATATATTGCTTATTACATACATAATCTATATTTTATACAAATATATTTATATATATATAAAACTTTTTTTGAGTTGGAGTCTAACTCTGTTGCCCAGTCTAGAGTGTAGTGGCGCACTCACAGCCACCCCAGCATCAACCTGCTGGGCTCTTGGACTCTGGCGATCCTTCCGCCTCAGCCTTCCAAGTAGCTGGAACTACAGGCATGTGCTACCATGCCCGACAAATTTTTGATTTATTGTAGAGATGAGGTCGTGCCAAGTTGCCTGGGCTGGTCTTGAACTCATGGGTTCAGGCAATCCACTCGCCTTGGCCTCCCAGAGTGCTGGGATTACAGGCCGAGCCACCAAGCATGGCCAGATATATCTTTTTAAAACAAAACATATATAATTATAGAAAAATACCCAAATGATATATGTCTAACCTATGTGATATAAGAGATAGTTATTTGCTATAGTATAGTAATAAAAATAACAACTAGCACTCATACACCTCTTATTATGGGCCAGAAAGTGTTTTGAGAACTAGATATGCACGGACTCATTTAATAATCAGCACTGCTATGAGGAAGGTACTATCATACCCACTACACAAATGAGGAAAGTGGGGCAAAAGTCTAGTGATTTTTCAGAACAAGGACCTCTGAGAAAAAAGAAAGTCAACTGATTTTACTTGTCACTGCTACTAAATGACAAAAACAGAATTTATAGGACTTACAAATATAGGCTCTAAGGCCCAAATATCTGGGCTGATGGTGAAAATTAAGTGACCTAATAAACATAAAGCACTATGTACAGCACGTCGCAAGTGTTCAATAAATGTCACTTCTTAGAAGTACTTTTCTTTATTGTTCAGATTTTACACAGTAGACATCTATTGTATTTTTAATGAGGGAGAAATCAATAGTTTTACCTTAAAAAAAACTCCCCCAAACTGTGCAGACATAATACTCTCCGTTAATTATCTTACTTCCTTTTCTAGCTACAAGCCAGGAAATTTTAAATAACCTGCATTCTTTGTTCCTGCCTAGACCTTTATTAAATTAGATCTATTGGAGTTTTCAAATTTTTCTATGCTGGAAGTGTGAATGGATTGTCAAATGGCAAGGGTGAACTGATACTGTCACCAGGAAGTCTCCGTGGACTTGTTCCATTTTTCTGCTCTTGGTCTTGCTGATGAAAAAATGGCTTTAGACAAAAGATGATTACAGTGGTTTTCCTTAGCCTGTGAAGTGGTATCTATTATTTCAGCTGAAAAATGAGAAAAAGCTTTCATTATACATTATACTTTTTGAATTGGCTGCTTCACCTTGACTCCTGTGATCTAAAGTTTTTAAAGAAATATCTTCCTCCAGATGGAAAAGTGTGAAGGGACAAAGAAAAAACCACTTCTTGACAGGCAGGTCAGCAGTGCTTGGTTGGAGCCACAATGATGTGAAAAATTTCAGGGAAACTTGGGGCTAAAAAGTAACGATAAAAACTAGAGGCTGAGCGTGGTGGTTCAAGCCTGTAATCCCAACACTTTGGGAGGCTGAGGAGGGAGGATCACTTGAGCCCTGGAGTTTGAGACCAGCCCAGGCAACAGAGCAAGACCTCGTCTCTACAAAAAAGCGAAAAAATTAGCCAGGTGTGGTAGCACGCACCTACAGTTCCAGTTTTTGCCTCAGAAGATTGAGGCAGAAAGATGTCTCAGCCCAGGAGGTCAAGGTTGAGGTGAGCTGTGATTGTGCCACTGCACTCTAGCCTAGGTGACAGAGTGAGACATTCTGACTGACAGACACACACACACACACACACACACACACACACACACACACACACACACACTGGGGCGAGGGGGGACACTTTCTGTAGATTTACAGGGCCTCCTTATTTCACTAAACCATAAACACATGATTCCTCATTTTAACTCTTTTATCTCAGCATTTCATAGCTATTCAGGGTTTAGAAGGGATATCTAAGGCCATCTAGTCCAACCCTAGCTGATGCTAACTCCCCTTCCTGAATTCAGTTAGAACAAGACTCCTGACGAGATAGAAGTAGAAAAATTGTGATGGTCAAGGAACAAAGCATATAAACTCATTTTCTATTTGTATTTTTTCCATTATAAAGATGAATTTACATTAGAACACAAAAAGACATGAAGTTCTTAAAGACTATTACCTAAAAAAATTTAGCATCTGGTTTCAGTGTCACACTGAAAGTAATCTGTACCGACTCAATTTCTATCTTTCAGGGATAAACACTTAATTTCCCTAAGACTCCAAGGAAGCAGACAGCAATTTTCAAGTGCCGGACTGAGAGGAGCTCCAGGCTCTTTCTCAGCTGGATTCCTGAAGAATTGCACTGCAATTTAGGCTTCATTTTCATAATCTGCAAAACAGAGTTAATACTCGGGGGTGTTTACGAAGCAAAGATAATCACACAACAGGTAGGACTCTGAGTCACTGGCATCATCCTTACGTACTTTTTCATCACAAAAAGGATCTGTAGCTCTGTTTTCTAGGTAAGAAAATATTAAAATATCCCCAAGAATTTTGGGATTTTCATAGCTATCTAAAGTAAAAAAAGCACCCAAGATTCCTAATTTCCATGACTTATCCTACTCAATTTCTCAGTTTCACATCATCACCAACAAACTCAGAAATCAAACTTTCAGGCTGTATCTGAAATCACCTTTGAAAAGAGACACTAGGCCAAAGTTTGGTGGCTCACAGCTGTAATCCCAGCACTTTGGGAAGCCAACATGGGAGGACTGCTTGAGCCCAGGAGTTCGAGACCACCCTGGACAACATAGTGAGGCATCATCTCTACAAAAAATCAAAAAGTTAGCCAGGCATGTTGGTGCATGCCTATAGTCCCAGCTACTCGGGAGGCAGAGGCAGAAGGGTCACCTGAGCCCAGGAGGTTGAGGCTGCGGTGAGCCGTTGATCGTGCCACTGTACTCCAACCTGGAACAGTGTGAGACTTGAACTCAAGAGAAAAAAAAGACAAGAAATAGGCACCTAACTTAAAGAACAATACAAGTTGGCATAAGTTTAAAAAATGCTTTCAGGCAGGGCGTGGTGGGTCAAGCTTGTAATTCCAGCAATTTGGGAGGCTGAGGTGAGAGGATTGCCTGAGCCCAGGGGTCGAGACCAGTCTGGGCAACTTGGTGAGACCTCATCTCTACAATATACCAAAAAATTAGCCAGGCATGATAGCAGTAGTTCCGGCTACTTGGAAGGCTGAGGCGGAAGGATCGCCTGAGCCCAGCAGGTCAATGCTGGGGTAGCCATGAGCATGCCACTGCACTCCAGCCTGGGCGACGGAGTGAGACTGTGACTCAAAAAAAAAAAATTCTTTCAGACCTTGCTGCACCAAGTACAAAATTCCCATTGCTTTTTGTTCCCCTAAAATTATCTTAATTTTATTATTATTTTTAAGAGACAGAATTTTGCTCTGTGGCCCAGGCAGGAGTACAATGGCATGATCATAGCTCACTGCAGCCTCGAACTCATGGGCACAAGCAATCCTCCTACCTCAGCCTCCCAAGTAGCTGCGACTATAGGCACATACCACCAGGTCTGGCTTCTTTCTTTTTCTTTTTGGCCAGACTGCACAATTTACAGCTGTCTCTTAGCCAGTTACTGTGACTTTCCACCTCAATTCAAATGCCTTCAACTGCTTTTTCAGTTGTCTACACTGGTTGTTCTTTAACTGGGTCAGGAGGTAGACTAGGTTTAGGCCAGGATGTTCTGTGGGGAATCTCATGAAAAACTGATAGACTTACTTCCATCTCATACATGCAAGGAACAACTCTGCCATCAAAAAAAATAATGTTTTATAAATATTCAGATCTTTACATCTAAAAATACTGCACATCTGAGTTTTTTCCACTAATATTTTATTTGCTGTTCTGATTCTTTGGTCTTCTTGTCTGGTAGAGTATGCTGGTAGACAAAAGACAGCAGACATTACAGGTATAAGAAGAAGTTACAAGAAAAAATTTAAAATTGAGAAAAAAATTTCAACTCATTCAACATTTATTTCTAGAAATCAGAAAAAGACCACCTAGATTGATTTTAGCAATAAAGTGCCCTGGTTCTGCTCAGGGTTCCCGTGGAATATAGTTTGAGAATGCTGCTCTATATGACCACACCAATGTTGCTGAACTTCATTTGAAAACTCCATGGCAAATAGATAATGCTTGCTCATTTCCTTCAGACCATTCGGATTATTACATGTAACACAGCATAAATGAATACATTCTGACAGTTTACCACTGCATCCTCCATGCTACCCATTTCTGAAAAAGTTATCAGCTAATCTTGCCCATCATATGGTAAAGTAACATTAAAAACATCAGGCATTCTGTCTCTTGCCATTCTTATTTATTTTGTAGTGTCCCAGAAGGCTGAAATCTCATCCACATCTAACTTTCTTGATACAGGGTAATATCAAGCCCAGATAATGCTTTATGATGTCTAAAATTATCAATGACTGTTATTTTCTTTGCAATGGAAATGACAAGGCTTTGTTCCAAGAGGACAGAAACGGAGCTGGTGTAGATTACTTTATAGCACTTAGCACAGTATGACACTAAATATAGGAATGAAATAAAAGTGTTTTGAAAAGATAAAACCACCCTAGTGGAAAGAGCCTTAAAAACCGGGAGCAAGAGACTTTGTTCTTGCCTTGGCTCCAACATGGAGCAGGCAAGAAACCCTAGACAAATTACAATCTCTGTGAGCCTCAATTTTCCTTTCTATAAAAGGAGGATGCCAACTTCTTGCCAACCATAAGTGACTGTAATAGGGATTTAAAAGGTTAAGAGGGGTTGAAAACTTCATTTTGCTATATATTTGGGGTTTTTTTGTTGTTTTTTTCGAGTTAGAGTCTCTCTCTCACTCTGTCACCCAGGCTGGAGTACAGTGGCACACTCATGGCTACCACAGCCTCGACCCGCTGGGCTCCGGTGGTCCTTCCGCCTCAGCCTTCCAAGTAGCTGGAATTACAGGCACACACCACCACATCTGGCTAATTGCTTTATTTATTGTAGAGATGAGATCTCGCCAAGTTGACCAGGCTGGTCTCGAACTCATGGGCTCAGGCAATCCTCTCACCTAGGTCTCCCAAAGTGTTGGAATTATAGGCGTGAGCCACCATGCCTAGCCTCATTATTTTGACTATCACAAATGATATGTGATATGGTATGGTCAAAGGGTTAACATATGTATCAAATACATGTAAAATTGATTTTTTAACAACTATTATAAGACTGAGCCATTCTCAAAATACACTAGACATCATTTCAACTTTCTCTGGGGGATTCGGGAATATTTATCACCATCTTGCTGTTGCCTTGCCATCATCTTTATGACCATCCACCAATAGCGATATGTACAAGTATAAAACTGCAAATTAATAAAAGATTCTTGAAACAAACTAGGTAGGGTGAGCAATAAAATGGGCTCACTGTTCTTGCCCAGAGAAGAGGGAAAAGGTCACAGAAGGCCAGGGTGAGAGAACTCTGGGTCATTTCCAAAGGGCCCCTCACAGATAGGAGCACCTGTGTGCTGTCTGCTTTCAAACCCCCATCCCCAGTGCCAGACTTACAGTTTTGTCCTTGGTGGTCATTTCCTTGGCTGCGGCATCCAGGGCAGCTCTGGCCCTGGCATTGATCTGTCCTGGGGCGACCAACACCATCTTGCGCTGTTTGGCAGGCAGCTGGGAAAGGACATCAGATTTGAGGCGCCGCAGCATGACTGCTTCCTCCAGTAGGAGCTTCAGCTCTCCGAGGTTAGAGGAGCCTGAGTAATCCCATCCCCAAGGCATCTGCGGAGAATAAGGCAGCCCCCGTGAGGCTCCCCCAATGACCAAGGCCAATCGGACCATGGGCTCTAGGCAGGTTTCTCTTCTCACAATCACCCCTGGCTTAGCTCAGAGAACTTCAAGTGACTTTACAGGGATGAATAACCCCCACGAAGGCAAATGAGAAACAGAAAGGAAAAGGGAAACAAAAGAAAGTCAGGAATGAGGTGAACAAAAAACACATATCATGGCATTCTACAATTTGGCACTAAGCTTTCTTTTCCAGCAGCAAATGCAAAAAGTCAAGTGATTCGGTGTCCATTTTATTAGAAAACAAACAAAAAACCCAGCTTGTCAAACTATTCTGGAACACTAAATACAGAACTTAATCTTCCCTAGGGCTTACCCTACAGAGTCCATTGTGCAATGTAATAAATAATGGCAGTAACATTTATATTTGATGAGATTTACAGGGACTTAAAAACTGTTGTTCCTTAGTATGCATGACACCAACACAACTGAGTACCATGTAGCAAAAGCAACATAAATGTTGTTGATGGTGGCTGAGCTTGGCAGGAAAAGCCCACAACACAGGCTTTTGCCAGCCTGGCCGAATACCTGGCAGTCATTCGTAACATGGCCTCCTCATTTAATAACTCATGAGAGGCAGTGATCTCCATTCCATGTTGCACAGCTAGAGAAAATGTGGCCAATTAAAAACGCTATCCTTCACCAACAACCTTACTGGAAATAGGACTGATTTCTACAGTCCTGTAAAAACCAGGGAGCAGTATGTCTGCTACTTTGTATTTTCAGGGGCTACCTGAGGCTTAGCCATGTTCGCGGGCCAGAGAGCCTAGCACAGTCAAGGAGACAGCAGATGCCTCACAAACCTTTGCTAAACTGAGAATGGAAAGAGATGGTCAAAGGTGGAGAAATCAAATGATCAAAAACTGTTTCTTGGTTTAAAAATATACTTCGAAATCAACTAGGAGTTCTCAGCAAATGACTTCAGAAAGCTAGTGGACTGCAAATGAGCTCAGTATGAGGCGTTCTCTTTAGCGGTTTCTGTTAATGTATAAAGCAGGCAAAACAAAACAAAAGAGTAGCCAGGCTCGGTGGCTCAGGCTGTAATCCTGTGCCTTGGGAGGCGGAGGTAAGTGGATTGCCTGAGCCTGCGGATTAGAGACCCGCCTGGGCAACTTGGCTAGACCTCATCTCTACAATAAATCAAAAATTAGCCGGGCGTGGTAGCATGCGCCTATAGTTCCCGCTACTGGGAAGGCTGAGGCGGAAGGATCGCCGGAGCCCAGCGGGTCGAGGCTGCGGTGGCCGGGAGTGGCCACTGCACTCCAGTCTGGGCGACAGAGTGAGACTCCAACTCAAAAAAAAACAAAACCACAAAAGAGCAGCCCTGACCTAAGGCCTACATTAAATAAGAACCATGCTGAGAACCAGTGGATATCATAATTAATTTCAATTTTACTATGGCTTGAATGTGTCCCCCAAATTTCATGTTGGAAACCTAATCCCCAAATTCAGATGATTTTTCCTCTTTCTTTGTAGAGATGGCGGGGGTCTCACGTTGCCCAAGCTGGTCTCAATTTTCTGGCCTCAAGTGATCAACCCACTTCAACCTCCCAAAGCAGTGGGATTGAAGGCATGCACTACCATGCCAAGCCCCCAAGTTCATGTACTGATTAGCGGTGGGGCCCTTGGGAGATAATTTGGATTAGATAAGGTTATCAGGATGGGGCTCCCATGATGACACTGGTGGCTTTATAAGAAGAGGATAAGGCCAGGCTCGGTGGCTCAGCCTGTAATCCTGTGCTTTGGGAGGCC